GTGTGTGTGTGTGTGTGTGTGTGTGTGTGTGTGTGTGTGTGTGTGTGTGTGTGTGCAACAAAAAACCCAAACCTTTCTGCAGAGGGAATCAGGCTATCCCCCCCAGAACCAAACTAATACTGAGACCCCGAACAGAAAGTCCAAACAAACAAAGCTGAACCAGAAACCAGCAGCTGCAGCTCTGCTACAACTAATCTGATCTGACCTCACCTCAGGTTTAGGACACATTTAATAAAAAGATTTCAGAAGCTTTCAGAGAAAACCTGAACTCTTTGCTCCATCAGGTCTCCTGGTGGGTTCATTAATTCTCTGTAGCCTAACAAGTTCAGAAAATATATATTTTACAGTATATTCACCTTCCTTCCTGAAAACACTAAACATTCCTGAGGATGTCGTCTCTAAACTGAAGATGGGCTCAGATTTATGACTGTTTTCTAATCATCCTAAATGTAGTTTGAGACCAAAGTTTAGTTCAAATAAATCTTTTATTTTAACTTTCTAAACTGAAAACTGAAGCTGAACTAATCTTAAATATCTTTGAGTTTAACACATAATTATGTGAGCACCAGAACACACACAGACACACTCAAGCCTTGATTTTCAAAGACTAGTGATTGATAACTTTTGCACAGAATTCAGTCAGACCACAGAGAACTACAGGTTTGTCTTCATCTAGGCTACAATACACTGTTTTAGTCAAATGTAGTTTGTTTTTAGGAGTGTAAGAAAATATGGATACACTGAAATATTGTGATATTTCATTTCGAGCAAGCATATCAATTCTCTAAAGCGCTGCATCCATTTTTATAATCAAAGTTTAAAATGTAAACTTTCATACCAGCGGTTCATTCTTGTGTTGCATTTTACCCTCCGGACSCTAGTTGGCAGCAGGGATGGGCGATATGTCATATACCATCAAATAAACTCCCCATGGTGATAATTTGTCATATTGCGGTGAAAACAATAAAATCCCGCTACGTATAAAGTTAATATGCTAGCTTCTTTTTTTTTTAACAGAAATATCTAAAGGTGTAAAGCATATAGATGTTCCTGCCAGCCTTATTTCTGCACTCTTACACAAAAAACATTTCAGTTTTTACATGTTCATTGGAATTTATTAAAAATATTGTTTTTTTTTTATCAAGTTGCATTTACAGTTGTACTACTTTCAGATTTTCACAAGCCAAGTTATTTTTTGCTGGTTACACCATTTAAATAAATGTCAGATTTGTTCTCATATTTCAGACTTGTTTGATTGGTGTCACTTTTGCAACACTGTACTAATTAAATTTCATTAATGTAGTTTAGTGGCTTCTAGTATTATTTTACGGTGCTCAAGTTACAATGAAGTGATAGATTTATAATACAAAAGATTAGGCTGATATATATGGGTGCAACGATACAGGAAATTCACGGTTCGGTTCGATACTTTAGTCTCACGGTTCAATATTTTTTCGATACAAAAAAGAGAAATTTCCATGCCTCTTTTAACTTGTAATTTATTTATATTATTTATGAACAGTTGTTTAACCTCAAAAGTACAGTTTTTAAATTAAATCTTGTTGAAACAACAAGTTTCTCAGTAGACCTGCGCTCAACTATATAGCGGGTAAAATAAGTTTTGAACACGTCAACATTTTTCTCAGTAAATATATTACTAGAGGTGCTAATGACATGAAATTTTCACCAGATGTCGTTAACAACCCAAGTGATCCATACATA